ATCTAGAGTCTAGGTTTTACCATACTTTACTCGCTTCAGGAATCAAAATGAAGCGCCGCCCATTTAATGACAGCCTAAGTACTTTCTAACACGTACGACATGATATTCAATCCCGTTAGGAATGCTAATGAACTAGGCTCCTGGTGTGGCGGAAGTGCACTACACTCAAATCATAAAACAAAAGTGGAATACAATTTAAAGTGAAATGCATTGAAAAATGCAAGCTTTACTTGGCGAATTTCGAAAGAATTAAAATATCCATATCTTACAACACCAAGCCACGAATTGTTAAGAGCTTGAATCTAACCAAATAAGTTGAGCTGCAAGTGAATATGTGCTGAACTAGTTGTCAAAGAGGTGACTGGCCAAATTAAGAGTATAGTTAGCTTGATAAAAGAGATGGTTTAAACAATTGGGCAGATGGAAGAACATCACGTAAAATAAAATAGGAATGCCCTTCATCCGTGAAAAAACTATCCATAAGCAGAATGAAGATAGACATGCCAAACACACTGAAAGGAGTAGCTATCACACTTACTCAAGATTTTATACATTTGTTTTCGAATGAATTCACAAAGACTAGAACTTATCAAAAGAATAAGATAATCTTGCTTCGATTTGCAAGAATCGCTCCTTCACCAATGGCTGCAAACTGAACAGTGCTCTACGTGAGCTCTGGCGGACTTGGGGATCTTTGTCTAAGAGGGCGGAATTGAAGAAGAGACGGCAAAGTTGTTCTGCAGCCAGAGAGGTCTCTTTTGATGCAGTTGAAGGCGAGTGAATGTCGCCCGTCAAAATAGTGGTTGATTTATGCTCTACATTGAAGGGCATACGATATCCAGAGCTGGGATTTGAGTGGCTCGAAGTTACGGCAGGGAGTAAAGGTTCAACCAGCCGCAGTTGACTGAAAAAAAATGGGTCGGATCGTATGACTTCGTCTGGTGGAAGGCTTGCCGCAAGGGGGTCTTTTGAGAAAACGATGAACTGTGGCGACAGAGAAAGCAACAGCATCTGGAGGCCCATTACGGCGGAACTGAGTAATTGTGACCTGCTGTTGCTCATCAGTCCTTTAACTGGACTCGCTTCACTTGAAACTTGATTTGCCGATTCTGCTTCCGTGTTTTTACTCGTATTTACTTGCTCTTCGATTTCCACTTCGCCTCCTTCAAAACCCCAAAGAAGACTTGACCATACAGGCGGATAAAAATGGAATCCAGGTCGATCTTTAGTTGGTTGTCCTGCAAGGTAAGACGCTTGGAGACGAGAGAAGGCCAATGATAATGTAATAGCAGGCCCATAAACGAAAAGAAGGGGTGGGTCTTGGCTAGGCTCGTTACTCGATGCCTCAAAAAGATCATCCAACGTGTTACGCCCATTGAGGACGCGCTTGCGTCTCTTAGTCTTCAGCTCATCTTGCAACAGACGAAAGAATATTTGTTGCTGCCCGGTATTTTAAGAAATATTAAACAGTAACAGTATAAGACAAGAAAATAAAAGAAATTATCGTTATAAAAACTGGCTAGCCGAGACCTAATATTATCTGCACAAGCAATAGAAGTTAAAGTAAGAGGATTTAATGTAGTTAAATTTAAAAAAACCGTAAAAAATAAGAGGCGCAGTCCCTTTCTTATGAATATGAGCCCGATCTACTTGAGACTTTTGCGCAAAAACTAGTCTAAACAACACGATATAAGATCATACGTTTCCACAAATATCGGTTAAGCACTATAGCAATTCAACCACCCAGACCCCATGAAAACCTTAGAAAATATGTATTCGAACAAGAAGTTCATTCCTTTATTCTAATAGCTGCTAAATAAATACAAGAAGATCGCAATTGGCGCATATATATATATATATATAACTCGTAAGTACTGACTAAATGTGAGAAATGATCAGGAGTTTTATGGGAATAAATACCATATATATAAAGTTAGTCGACCGAATTAGATCCATAAATACTTTCAGCTAGCTTTCCTTAAGGTATGAAAAGCTATAAGAGAACAAGATCCATATTTCTTCTATCAACTTGAATTTTCGTTGACTATGACTCGAAATGTTTATATTTAGACCACTTCGTAAAGGGGATGGGCAAGACAAGAGTAAAGTATAAACGAAATGGCCTAGCGAATGGAGCAGTATTCTACATTATAGGACAGTTCGAAATATGTTCAACACTTGTCCTTTTTGAGTTTTGACCCCACATCATCTGCTATGAAGCCCTTCGTGAACGTTCGTTTCATCGATTATTTAGGCTAATATATGACTTTCCCATAATATTTTCTAGACCATCCCTCTTCTGCTATCTGACGAAAAACATAGTCTAAATTAATTTATCGAAGCTGAGTTCTGATTCCATATCGGCCTGTCTAATATCACCCATTCTAATTTGTTATCTTTTGTCGAAAATCAAAACGTTCCTTCATAATTTCAACCCACAAAGGTTGTGAAAATATCCATACATTTGCTACAAGGATGAAAAGGAGGAGTATTTGATCCATAAGAAGCAAAATAATAGCAAATGGGGGCTGCAAGTTATTCCACCAATCGAAAGCGAACTTCTATTGGTTAAGCACTATCAATGATAGCTTAGATCTGACACTCTGAACTCAAAAGTATTCAATCCAACAGAAGTTGTAGAAAAGCTAGAATAGTATTGTAATAAGCGAGAGATCTCGACGACTTAGCTAAACTCAAAACGCTAAACTGGCGAAATGTGTGTAGAATAAATCAAGTTTCTGGTTCATTCATTATTGATAATGGCAATTTACTAAAAAAAATTTGAGAGTCAGGACCGTGTATAAATAAATACTAAAGTTTTTCTCGATAATAGCTGATTTTAGGGAATCTTCAGATGCCCTCTGCAGGTTGTTATATGGATTTGTGCTTATGTGGTAGTGTATATGTGGGAAAGACTTGTCGATCCATACAAAAGTGAATCAGTCAACACCTGGACGTTGATGCTATTTGGTTTGTGCAGATATTATTTGGTATTGTAGATCACATTCGCAGAATGATACGTATTTCAAAGCATATTAGCAAGTCCATAAATTATTTTGGCAATCTTTACTGCAGAATATTAACACTATTGTGGCACTGCAACTCTTGGTTTATGGCGCATTGAACTACAATTTACAAATAAGATAAGATGCATAATCGGCGGCGATCTTAGAAACATGAGAAGCTTAGTGATCAGATTGAAGTCTTTCATAGACAGCCTGACAAGCTTCACAAATCGGGAAGGCAGTTAGGCTAGCGACAAAAGTGAAGAAAGACAAATTTTTTCATTATATTCATGAAGCCCAGGATGAAGTGGACTCATTTGTCTATTATATCATTATATGAGGTAAATTTTATCGATAGCTCAGTCTAATAGAGCAAAAAAGGGCATATTGAATATATGGTCTTGAACAAATGATGTCAACAAAATGAAGGTACGCTTATATATGCGTGTCTTGGAAAACTTCTCTACAGGGTTGAAACAAGAGCACAAGAAGTAGCATATAGAGATTTAATACGCACCAACAGTGTTGAGAATGAGAAGCTTGAACTTTATAAGCAATATAGATAATACTGAAGAGCGAAGAGGCTAATGGTTAAATCATGTTAATCGAGTGAATTCCTGCAGACTTATTTATTGTATGCTGCCGGAATGACAAATTCCTTGGGTTGCAAGATCATGTAAGAGCTGATCTCAGGGTAACAATCGTGGACCTTCAATCCTAGGTTAGGCGGTTTCAAACTAAGCCAATTATTTCTAGACATTCCATAAAGTCATAAAATAATGGGCAATAGCACATAATCTGCCGACTATCCAGGAGAGCGGTGAAGCAGATTCGGAGCACGAACACTACCAGGCTTCCTTCAGAAAGCTAAATTTCCCAAGTTTTTATGCATAAAGAGGATGTGAGTCCAAAGGAAAGGTAACTGTCAGGCTCAATAAGCCAAAAATAAATATGCTACGAAGACCAAGATAATGTGGCCTATTGATTGTTAGCAGTTTTCTTTAGCTGTATACTGTTGGTTTGATCTCGTTTTAGCAACTTGATCTGAGCGACAAGGAGACCTTATATAATGAACCCAGTCTTGCGTCCTTTGTCATAGTACTCATGATGATTTTCAGCATCAGACAAATGACTTGGTACATTCCAATACCTTCGCCGGTATCGTCAGCGAGAGGCGCCATCCTTAGCACAGAGTTACAATTTATCAAAGTGGCAAGTGAAGACAATTCTCTCGACTAATTTTATTTTCAACTGTTGTGAAGGTGGTCTTCAATTGTCACTTTAATAAGATGTAATTCCTTGCTAACAATGGCGTCTCTCGTTAAAGATGCAAAGGGAAAGGTATGAGGATGTACCCAGTCAATTGCCCGATACTGGAATTCATCATGAATACTATAACAGAGGACGCAGGACTAGGTATGTTCCACAAAATCTCACTGTCACTCCGACCAAGTTGCAACGCTAAATAGGACTACGTTTTCAATTCTTTTACATTATACAGCCACAGGCGCGACTTTTGAAGGCTGAAGAGAGGAGATAAACAAGAGATCGAGTAGCATCTTACAGAGTATGAATAAGCATGACAAAAAATCAATTTAATTAGACCCAGATAGTCTCCTTCAAACTCGATGTAAATTTTTTAAAAATACATAAAAAGTTATCCAAAAATGAGTTAATCTTGTTTTCTCAACTTGGTCGTGTGGTCAGGGGGACTTAGTTGAACGCACCTTACCTGAAGTTCTCAGACCGTGGACTTGGTACATTCTTAGACGTTTCGCCGGCACCATCAGTGAGTCTTGCCATTCTCCGCACCAAGTAATAAAATCGTCAAATAGACAAGTAAAGTCAATCCCCTGACCAATGTTTTGCCGAAACGGTCAAACCATTACTCTTCTTTATGAACTGGCCCATCTATCTACTCCTTACATTCTTATCCAACTCCCGCCGTATAGCAACTTCTGACTTGTTTACATTCAACTCGTCAAAATGTGTGGACTTTTTGATAAATTTAGTGGGGCCTCATCACGCCTGCTGTTCACCTTGGCCCCCTCTCTTTCGATCGGCTAATTCGACTCGGGCCTCCCTCATGGTCCCGTAGATCTATTTATTATCTTTCTGGTTAACCGATTTCACTCGATTCCAGTACCAGTGTGCTTTTTACTCCGGGAGTTAGTTCTCAAGGCCCTAGAAGTAGGTACACTGCCGCCTTACCGAGAAAAGCGCCTCGGCTCTGATTCCCATGCTTGCACATATCAGGCATTGTCATCACAGATTGTCTTTTTGATTAGACCCATGTTACATGAGCAAGCTGTGGATGCCTATTTCTGGTTCCATGCGGCATCTCAAGTGAATTTCTAGTACATCTTGGCCACAATGCCGAATTTATTTGAGGGTTGTGCTTATCTGTCTGCCTAGTTCCCTGACTGCTAGGCCCAAAAATTATACTGGTTTCTTCGAACAGACTTGGCTCATCGAGAACGCCTTCGTTTGATTTCCGAAATTCCCTCCCTAATTTCTCTTCGCAATCTCTTTTCCTCCGGTTAGCGATAGATCCTTGATCCAGACGTATCCTTTCTATTGATCTTGCTATATTCTTGTTTTCTCCAAGTTTGCTTAAGCAGTGAGCAAATTTATCGCTAACTCTAGATTTTTATTCGAGACTACCAGTAAATCAATAATATGAGATGTATTCACCCTATTTCCTTTGAGGTGATGAAGGACTGGTAGAAGAATTTTCCCACAATGATATGAGTAGAGCTGACGTTTTCATTGAATTGCACATTGCCTTGCTTTCCTAAAAGTAGTTCTAATCCAGTGTGGACTGCAGTTTCGACCTCGCATCGGTTTTATCAACACCCCCAGCGGGAGACAAACCGTGATAGTTCAGAATGGGAGCCTGACCCATCAACCACTCGACCACATTGCCACGAGTGCCCTTGGGTCACAGGGCAGATGTGAATTTCAAGGATGGCCTTTTACCCTATCATATTCTTTGGCGTGAAATGCAATGGAAGCGTCAGCTCTACTCATATCATTGTGGGAAAATTCTACGACCAGTCCTTCATGACCTTAATGAAATAGGGTGAATATATCTCATATTTCTAGATTTTTTACCCCAAGGATGTCAATGGCCTCTCTAATACTCCGCTTACTTGTTTTTTTACCGTGAGGGCCTTCTTTCCAATTGATATTATATCCAGTCTGTGCGATGTTTTCGGTATCCACTTTCATGCAGAGCCTTTGATGTTCCTTGATTCGTATTCTAATTTTTCTCCTTGCTTCGCCAATATATTTCTGTTCACAGGCATCGCATGCTGTGTAGTGAATTCCTGATCACTTCAATTTATCGACCCTTTCATGTTGCGTCGATAGACTTGTGGAAAGTGGTGTTTTTTCCTTCATCGTCACCCGAATATTCTATTTCCTTAGTATTGACTATGGTTTTTGAGTTAGTTCGCAGGAAGGTAGGCATATTCACTTTTATGAATTCGCCGTCCTTACTGTTCTTTCATAGTCCCCGTTCTGCCATCGGCTTTTCGCGGCCCGTATGCTCATATCTATTACTCCGCTTGGGTAGCCGTTGCCGATGAATATCTAGTCAATTTTTCCAATTCTACATCCCAGAATTCCATATCAGTTAAACGTGGTCTTCTGATGACCATGCTCCTCATTATGCCTATCTTTACCCTGTAGTTGTGATGGGACTGGAAATTGATTATTATCCCGGCATAAGAATTATTTCTGAATAATTTCTTCCTGAGCGTCCAATTAGAGCGAATCACTTCAACATTCAGAAAAGGTAATCGCTCACCTTCATCTACTTCAATCGTGAATTTACTCTCTGATCCTGATCCTTTCTGATTCCTCTTCTCAGTCCAGGATTTCCGGCAGGGCCGTTAGCGCATTTTATACAGAGATGTCTGTATACATGGATTCCATATCAAAACTTACCAATAAGTCTGTTTCTTCGAGTGACATGAATTTGATTTTTTTCGAAAATTTATATGAATGCTTCACCGTGTTTGATAACCTGTCTTGAGTTTCAGATGTATGAACTTTGCCAATTTGTGTGTTGCCTATCAGTGGCTCGTCTTCTTTGTTTATATTCGGTAATCCGTAGGCTGTTGGTGGTCGTGCATTCTTTATTATGATTGAATTTTATGTCCGTGCGTCAATTTCCCCGTTCCTATGCATATCTTTCAGCATGTCACCTAAGATTCCCTTGATCTTCATAGTAGGGTCCTTCTTTAGTTCACGATGTGTAGTAGTCTTGTCTCGTAGAATATATTCCATTTTCTTGGCTTATTGTTTTTTGTCCATTATCACTGTCAATCCTCCTTTAACCGACTGAAGGACCAATTGCTGATTCATTTCCAGGGTCTTATGCATTTTGCCGAATCTGTTCCTGTGTGTTGGCTAATGATGTGGTAAGATATTTAGAATAAGTTCCATCTCCATTTCACGTTTAGTCTCTTCAGAAAACTTTTAGGAGATATTGATAACCTCCACTATGATGTCTCCTAGAGGGCTTCTGTCATTTTAAAGTGAAAAGTTGAGTACCTATTCCAGGATCGTAGTGGTTTCTGGATTAAGAGGAAATTATGATAAGTGCACTACTTTTTTCCGATCATCGTGCTGATCAATAGATGTTGTCACATCGGAAACCACTTCAACTGGGCCTACTTGCTTTAACTTAGGCTGTCTTATAATCTTACACCTACGCAATTTATTGTTGTGCCATTTTGTTATTAAGTCAGATATCCTGAGTGCTTTCCTGTCGGCCATGCTATGAAGTTTTTGAAAGTCTTCAGGAGTCAGGATCCTGGCCAGATCACGTCGGAGCTTTGACTTAATATCTATACACTCAAATAGCTTATTCCTCTCCATATCATAAGTTTCATTTAATTTCTGAATAGAGGCCTGGTGGAGAAACTCATTAACTTTATCCGAATGGTAAGGTCTCTTAGGGTCACAAAAATCAGGAATGATACCATAACGTTTACAACAGTATAAAAAGGTCAGATAGCAAGACTGGCTTGCAATTGTCTTCTTTGCCCGGCTGTATTCAGTGTTTCGTCTGGAAATATTAGTATCGTAGTTTAACCGAAGATATAAAGACTAAGATTATGTTGCCCTCGGTATAATCACATTATAACTCGAAAGGAGACTGCGATCATACCGAGGGCCACACCATCTTGGTCTTCATAAATTTGATTAGGAAAAGTTGTTTTAAAACGGTTTTAATTTATGAACTCGCATCAATTTTACTTACTTCAGCATCATACTGAACAAGAAGTTCTCGTGCCTCCTTACGTATCTGCCCGATTTGACTAAAAAGCTGGCCAGCCAACGCAAGGAGGCTTGCGGTGGACCAGGCTGATCTGGACCATGACTCGAGTGGCCAGCTTGAACAATGGACTCTCTCGAGTTGTGAGGGCGGCTCCTTATCTTGTTGAAGTTGAGGCGGGTCGGATTGTTGAAATTTAGGCTGATTAGCTCCGGGCCTGATGATAGAATATTTTGTCAATTTCTGGACTAGTCTGTACCTCACTTGTTTGCCTACATGTCGCCTTACTTCTCCTGTTCCTGCCTGGGTTTTCCTATCCTCAATTTCCCTTCCTATTATTCGTCTTCTGCTAATAACT